GCCGCTCGGTCACCAGGCTGCACGTGCTGCTTGCTGCCTAATGCTACACAGCATGCAGCTCACGTGGCCTGAGTGACATGCTCTTCCCCTCCCCCCTCCGGGCGCCTGGCTCCCCTACCGCCCTTGTGAGTGCAAACTGCAAAGACTCACCAGTGGATCCTTCCCTGGCCTCAGAGGAGCTGCTGGAGGGGGCCTGCTGGGTGGCAACGCTGGCCTCCTCCCCCGAAGCACTGCTTTCCTCTCCTTCCCCCGCCTTGGTGGTTCGGATGACAGGGGGGCGCTGGCAGGTGTCCACCGGCACATCTGGGCCTTGCGGGGCTGGCTGGCCGAGGATGGCATGCAGCCGGTCATAGTGGGGGCAGGTGTCTGGTCCTGGCCTCCACCCCCGGGGGCCTGCTGGGTGGCAACGCTGGCCTCCTCCCCCGAAGCACTGCTTTCCTCTCCTTCCCCCGCCTTGGTGGTTCGGATGACAGGGGGGCGCTGGCAGGTGTCCACCGGCACATCTGGGCCTTGCGGGGCTGGCTGGCCGAGGATGGCATGCAGCCGGTCATAGTGGGGGCAGGTGTCTGGTCCTGGCCTCCACCCCCCGCTGGCCCCCGAGCCGCAGCTCCTTGACCTTCACCTGGATCTGGTCAATGTTGCGGGCAGGGTGTCCACGCTGGGCCAGCGCCTCGGCCATTCGGCCGAAGATATCGGCGTTGCGGCGCCAGGACCGGGTATCATGGAGGCCCTCCTCCTCCTGCCAGAGGGCCATGGCATGATTTTCCGGAAATACTTTTAACAGAAAAGGTTTTCCATTAAAAGTATTTCCAGAAAAGCGCGTCTAGATTGGTCCCGGAGTTATCGTCATAATGATGCGCTTTTGCACCCGGAGCTGCCATGGCTGGCTCAGATGGCTGCTGAGCAGGGCAGGGGCGCCGTGACAGACCTCAGGTCGCAGGTCTGAGGCACGCTCCTGCCACATGCGCTCAGCAGCCTGCGGGTTCTTTTAAGAGCTCGGGTTACCAGGAAGTCCGGGGCTCCTACGGGGTCTCCAGGCATCCAAAGCGCTTTTTTCCATTAATTCTGCTTTTTCAGAAAAGCGTTAGCTAGCTGTCTACACTGGCTCTTTTGCGCAACAGTTTTTTGGAAAAAGGACTTTTGCCCAAACACGAGCAGCAAAGCTTTTCTGGAAAAGCGGCTGATTTCGCACAGTAGATCATCATTGCTTTTGCAGAAAATCAAGCCGCCAGTGTAGACAGCTGGCAGGATTTTCCGGAAAAGCAGCTGATTTTCTGGAAAATCTTGCCAGTCTAGACAGCCATGTTTAGCATTTTCCCATGCTTCATTTGTATACTCTCTTTCGTTCCGTTTTTGCACAAAAAGAGGCAGTGTGGTAGTGGCTGTTTTGCTCAAAGAAAACCCCACACCTTTCGCAAGATCCTTATGCTCAGGGCTTGCTAAGCGGCAGCGAGCCCCACTCGCTAGCCATGCGGTTCTGCGACCTGTGCATGTGCAGATCGTGCTGTGCCAGCTTGTAATCTACTCACCATGGGCGAGTAGATTACACAATTTGTTGAGCCCTGCTTATGCCCCTCTGGGACAGGCATAAGGATTGTGAGTAGCTGCACATGGCTGCCATCTGGCAGGCTCATCAGGGGGCTGTATGCATCCGAGAGGCCCCGAGGGACAGTTTCTCACAAGGACCCCAGATGACACACTCTTCCGGGCCTCCTCACCAATTGCCTGTGCCTTGGCCCAGTGCTCCTTTCCTCCCCTTCCCGCCCTTCCTCCTCTTCCCTTGTTGACACAAAGCAGACTATTTTTGAACCAAGAAACTATTTTTTTGTTTAACTAGGGGAAATCGTAATTTTCCCAGGGGGGAAAGAAACCTGGAAGGAGGAGGAGGGGCTCAGGAATTGGGCTGGGAGTGGCACTTGCTCCGGTGGTGCCACCGCATCGTGTGCAGGGCCCTCAGCAGCCATGGGGATAGAGGGTAGGGGGCAAAGCCAAAGGGTCAGGAGCAGGAGCAGCTTCCAGCCGCTCCATGGCAGCAGTGTAAGTTGTGCACATAGTCTGTGCCTGCTGTAAGAACTCCCGGCAGGTGGTGCAGCACAGCTCCATGCCTGCCTTCACAGAGCACTGTGGGGCACCGATGTGCACCCGCTCCAGGTCCTCTCAGGCACCTCACTCGCAACTAGACCAGTATTGAAGAACAAAGAGACGGGCAGCCATCCCAAGAGACAGGGTGCCTGAAGCCCAACCCCCATCTCTGAGCCAACACTGAAAGGTCATGGGTCAGACGAAGGCGATGTGCTTGGAACAAGTCCACTGATGGCCCAGACAGCGGGCCACTTCTTGCAGGGACACAGATGTCCCTAGGGGGAGCCTCACTATTCCTACATACTGGGGACAAGCAGGCATGGGAAGGTGGCAGCCAGTCCAGGAATCTGCAGGTTGGCGAGGTGATGGGGCAGCTCAGCTTCCCTCTGCCATGCACACATCAGGACAGGCAGTGGCATAGGCCCACTGGAGGAGGGGTGCGTGAGCAGCAGATGTCACGTTTTGGGGAGGGTGCTGGTGGGGTCCCCTGAACTTCCTCCCCCTTGTTCTCCTGGGCTCCACCTCACCATGCTGGCCTGGGAGTGTGGGCATGCCCGTGTGTACATTTGTGACCCCATCCTCCCTCGTGGTGGCCTGTGGCGGGAAGGTGTTCCACCACAGGGTTGAGAGTAAGGCAGGCCTCAGCGTGGCTGTCTGCCCTAGCCTGCCACTCCGTGTGCAACCACGTGCCCAGGGTACTGTGCAATCCCTAGGCCGAGAAGGCAGGGTGAGGAGTGTACAACTCCTCACCACCCACTGCCACCATGCCACGTGTCCCAGGAAAGTAGTGCAACTCACTTGGTGGGACTCTGGCCTCAGCTGAGCCCTGGGTGACATCCTAGGAGGAGGGTACTGGCTCCAGGGACAGAGTGAGGGCCTGGCTAGCAGCCATGCTGTGTGGTGGCCACCTCCTCGTAGTCCTCCTCCACTGTCAGCCTCCCAGAGGGTGTGGCAGCAGGTGTCTCCAGGCCAGAATAGATGACTAGGGGAGGGAAAGGAACCTGCCCCCCTCCCAGCATGCCATCAACCTGCATGTAGAAGCAGCAGGTCTGGGTTGCCATTCCCAACTGGGAACTCCTTTCCCTAGTCTTGGAATAGGCCAGCTGGAGCTCCTTGACCTTCATTCTGACTTGGTCCAGAGTGCGGCTGTGCCCACTCTGGACCAGGCTGTCAGCCATGCAGCTGTACACTTCAGCAGTTCACTGTCTGATGCGGAGATCCTGGCTATTGGACGGCTTCCCCCAGGTCTCAAGGAGATCCATGATCTCCATGTCAGTCCATAATGGCACCCTCCTCTTCCAGCCCCAGGCAGGGGTTTGGGAGCTGGCTGCAGATGGGCAGGCAGCTGTGGAGGCCTCAGATGGTGTGCTGGAGTCCACCATGGCAGAGGTAAGGCAGAGCAGGTACAGTAATAGCAGGGCTGCTATGTGCCACAAGCCCTTTCCCCCCCGTGGCTGCAGCTTTAAGGGGGAAAGGGGACTGTGTTGTTCTGATGAGTGTAGACAGAGTGGGAAGCCCTGAAGGCCCCTTATTTCGAAATAACCACAACTCTGCTGTCTACCTGCACCCTATTTCAAAATAACTATTTCACAATAGGTGTAATTCCTCGTAAAATGAAGGTTACAGATCTCAAAATAAGGTGACCACAACTTAATCATAGCCGGGTGGGCAATGAAATTTTTGGTTGTAAAAAATACAAAAATAATAAAGCAGTGTAAAACTTAAAACAAAAATTCAGTTCTCTCCAAATATCAGTTGTGTTGATGTACCCTCCAGACTTCTCTCAAGTAGCCCTAAGGGTACTCCTAGCACTCGTTGAGAAACACTGACTAGAACATCCCTGACAGATGTTGGTTTAACACTCTTAAATCTCTAGTGATGGAGATTCTACAACCTCCCTAGGTATTTTATTCCAGCATTTACGAAAAATAGCCTGCTAGGGTGGTTAGTGACCAAGCTAAACGTCCCTTGAAGCAATGGGTTTAGATTGCAGTTTGTCCTATCAGAGGTCACGGAACATTTTTTTCCTCCTTGTTACACCCTTTTAGGTACTTAAAGGTGAGGCTTACCAGTAAACTGGTTAAACAGTCACATCCCTAGTGTAGATGTGGTCACCTCATCTTAAAAAGATGCTATTTTTTTAAGTGGAAAAAGTCATTCCATACCCCTAATTTTTGTTGCCTGCCATATGAAGAGAGATTAATAAGACAAACTTTTCAGCTTGGAAAAGAGACTAGTAAAGGAGGATATGGCAGAGATCTGTAAATCATGACTGGTGTGTATAAAGTAAATACGGAAAAAAGTTACTTACTCCATCCCATAACATGAGAATTAGGAGTTACCAAATGAAATTCATAGCTAGCAAGTTTAAAACACAGGGAAGTATTTCTTCACACAACACACTTAACCTGTGGAACTCCTTCCCAGAAGATGTTAGGAGGTTCATGACTAACAGGGTTTAAGAAAGTTGGACCTATTCTCTGTGAATTTATCTATCAATGGCTATTAGCCAGGATATGCAGGAATGGTGTCCCTAGCCTCTGGTTGTCAGAAGCCAGGAACAGGATAGATGATGTGATGACTACCTGTTCTGTTCATTCCCTTGGGGGCACCTGCCATTGGTCACTACTGGAAGACAGATGGACTCTGGTCTAAGCCAGTACAGCCAGCCATTTTAATGTCCTTATGCAATGCTTCCCATCCTTCCTTGCAAGTAGGTCGACAATTATCTTTTATTGAATTAACTTGTTAGAGAGAGAGAAGCTTTTGACCTAGAGAGCTTTTCCCAAACCTAAGGAAGAGCCTTTCTTACCAACAGAAGCTGGTCCAATAAAAGACAACCTCACCCATCTGGTCTCTCTAAATTGCTGGAACTGGCTACAACACCATTATACACAATTACAAGAAGAACATTACTATTTAGTGTTTAACATGTTTAATATTTGTACATTAAAAGTGAAATCTGTTCCCTTCATTCATGATCCAGTATGATCATAGTAAAATTTCAGTCACTTTACAGTTAACATGATTTAAACATACTGGAAATAATTATCAGATACATTTGAGAACAACAGAACACAATCTGCCATTGCAAAGCTACAGAAATAAAGCTGAGCCAATATTTAATCACTGAAAAATCATCATCAGGTATTTGCATATTCACACAGGGCTGTGTGTTTATAAACCTGCCAATTTTACTGCCTATCTGAACCTTACAAGACAAACCTGGGAGCTACATATTTAATTTTACAAATAAGCCAATTTGGTGATCAAAATGAGCACTGGTGCACAAGGTTCTTTATTTATTCATCCATTACTGTACCTTCCTCTGAAAACACTGGAGTCCCTGGAAAGACTCGTTTCTACAGGCTTTGGATCAGGTCCCAGAATACAGGTAGGTCAGTAGAAGTGCAAGTTTTCCACAATTAAGACCAAAAGGCTGGTTAAATATCAATGCTAGTTTAAGGGCTTGATTATTGACTTCACCGATAACAGGACAGGTTGAACCTCTCTAGTCCAGCACCCTTCGGAGCGGACCGATTCTGAACCAGAGAATTTGCCAGACTACAGAGGTCAATAACGTCTAGCAGCATTACCAACACTCCCACTGCTTACAGGGCTCTTAGACATTTAGGAGTAAAACAGAGCTAAATAACAGCTCAGAACACTGGTGGCTATAAACAGTTTTTAATGGGACTGCAGGAAACATGGCCACATCCATGGTAAATGGATATCTGGCTAAGTAAAATCATGCTGGACCACGGATGTTGCCTGACAAGAGAGTTCAGCCTGTAGTGTAAATCACAGTACAATTTCTTACATCGTAGACATCAGTCCATTTTCTGGACCACAATCACCAACCTTTTTTTAAATAGGTTACCAAAGAATTATTCAAGGTTTTTCTTGTGAAGAGATGAAAATTTCATGTCTTGACAATAACTAATGCAGAATATAGGAAGTTTCACCAATCACAAACAAAATGAAACAATTTGTAAAAACTTGAAAAAAAGATAAAAATTACATCTCCCCTCCCTCCCCCGCCCCCCAAACATTGAACAGTAGGAAAAAGCCAAAGGCTGCTTTGGTTTTACCTTCTTAAAAAAAGAGATCATTTCTGAAAAGGCATCAAATGGCATTATCCAGACAAAACAGCACAAATTCTTTATTTTAAAATATGCCAGCATTTTTTATTCAGGATCTCTGGCAATAAAAACAATGCCTGTGGTCTCTACCCATGCCAAAACTCAAAATAAGAGCAAAACTTTTAAAACTCCCCACCCCAGGAGATTCTACAATATTGCAAGAGCCTATTTTGCCTAGAAGCTAAAATCCTGACCCCAACTGTCTCGTAAAGGCAGTACCACAAAAAAAGTGAGAAAAGATTACAGTGAACTGTTCTTCTCTTTTATTTCAATCATCAATATAAGCCCTACGTACAGCTTTAAAAAAAAAAAAAAAAAGAGTCCTCAACAGTTTCCATATCTTGGTGCAATATAACAGGAACACCCATTACATTTTGACAGTCTTCAAGGAAAGACTGATCTGACTTACTCAAGTTGACCACTTCAAGCTTTTTTGATTTTTCAACCAAAATTTCCCTTTCCTCTCTCAATAATGATTCTATCACATTGAACTGCATTTGGCTGGTTTATCAGATACATCATAGCTTATTAAACCTGGTTGGGAGCCACAATTTCTATTCTATAGGAGAGTCTGACATTCTGCAGGAAAGTAAGCCAAAAAAAAGCTGTTCCAAATCAAAGCCAAAGTTATATTGTTTGAGCCAAAGATTAAACAAACACAAAACTAACACTTCATCTCAATAGATTTTAAATGTTTCAATCACCAGTCATTTTGTTGCAACTGTCATAGTATATTAAAATATTACATATATTTTTAATACCAAAATCCAAATAAAAATTATTTGAAACACAATGTTTTGCCTTATACCCATTGTAAAATTTAGTAAAAAAACCCAATTATGTTCCTGCAAAAAAATATTGTTTTAGTCAAAGCTGCATTGTGATAGAACAATATTTTATCCATTTTTTAAAATCAGATCTGCCGTGTATCACTTGAGGTGGGATAATAGGGGCAAAAGACTCAAATACAACCATTATTGATTATCCTGTTTCCTCATGCATGGATGAGAGGGTCACGCCATATGGATTTTCCTCAACATGGAGATACCATGTTGATGAACTATTTGATTTCCATTGGGCACCCTTTTTATCTGTATTATCAAGATCACTAAGGCAGCTGTTAGAATGGAGATATCCAAGATACATGATCCTTAATGTGCAAAGGCGGCCCTTATTCATTTCACTACAGTCTAGACTAGCTTGATATTAAATGACCATGAATCATATCAAACGAATCTGTAAGGACACAACTGATCCAACTTCCCATGTTCTACAACTGAGGAACTCCCTCTCAGTTTAACAAACTGACCTCTGTTCTATTGACAGCAGGAGAGACAACATATTAGTGCAAAACTCTTTATGCAGGTTGAGAGTTGCAGTGAAATAGGCCATTATAGGAAAAGGCACTTTTCCACATAAACAGTGCTATATTTCACATGACATTCAGAGGCATAGAGTGTGAGCAAATAAAATGAACACTGAGGCAGCCTGACTAAACTAAGCTCTGCCTTGATCACTGGGCTGTCCCTGGTTCAGCCAACCTTTCACTGCTCAGCTGGACTGAGGGCAAGTAAGAGAGAAATACTCGAAATAGGATACCATACTACACAGACCAGGGATCTGTTCCAGCCTGCAATTCCCTGCATTTTTACCCAATTAAATCAGTGAGATGCAACCTAGGCTTCATGAGTGGCCCTCCTCCATCTTAGTAGGCTGCAAGGTTGTTGTAACCAAGACAAGTCACCTGGGATAGGGTAGTTTTGCTAACTGCACTTGAGTACCTAGAATTTGCAGGCTGTGCCAATTGAACCATAGCAGCATTTTGTTTGGCTGCAGAGGGAGGCACACAGCTCTCAGTCAATGTGTGCAATTCATGTGCCCGTGCTTTACTGTACATGTCACTTTTCTAATACCAGTAGGTTAAAAAAAAAAAACACACTATGTAGATGGAAACCAGCAGAATTTGGCAACCATGCATGGGGTCAATGGTAAACAAAATATATTCTCATAGGCCCCACACAGAACCCCAACGGGCCACATGCAGCACAGTTTGCTCGTCTCTGATTTAGATAGTGCAGCTGCTATTTTTGCCTGATACAACGGGGGGGGGAGAAGAGGGGGGAGAGAAGAGATGGGCTATCAATGCTAATGTCACAGCTGTAAAGTGTTCATGAGGTAGGACTAAGCAAAGCTACAATGAGTACAGTTTGGCTCCAATGGATGGAGACAGGATATCATTTTACACTGACCCTGGGGCTGCATGTTTTGGTAAGTACACTTGGTGGGGACTGTGGAGAAACCAAAGAGATCCAAAATGACTGTAGAACGTATAGAAGATGAGCAAAACTAAGTGTGAGACCTAAACTTTAGGAGGAAGTTAAATCCCAGACCAGATGACTCTTAGCCTTGTGAGGTGAAGGGGATGAGTTCCCTAGTGGGTCAGTTTTCACATGGCAGTTTCTGCCATTTGCATGGCTGCAAGTGAACAGAGAAATAAAGAGTTTGTATCCTGCTATGCTTCAAGCTGTCCTTCATTTTACTCACTGCCTTGGCTCAGCTGAGCAAGTCTGTGCTTGCTTGTGTTTGAGCTGGGAAGCAGAAGTCCTGAAGCAGCTGCAGATTTGAAGGTCAGATTGGGTCAGAGGTGATGGTAGGATCATGAGTTGAAGTGGTTTTCCAGCAGTGCCAGATCATACCATCCCATTAGGATTCCGTGTTAGTCATGTTCATGAAATGAGTGCTGGATCAGCCACTGTTCTTGGAACTTCAGAGAAGTGTATTTTTAGATCTGAAGTTGGTAGCTCAAGCCCATCTTTATTCATTAAAAAAAAAACCACCACCATTTAAGGCTCAGGCAAGGTGTCGGAAATATATTTAGTGGTTTCCTTTACTGAGTAAAGAGTAGGAAACGGATGATGTCCACTTACCCATAACAACCCCATCTCAATACATGGCTGTCTCCCTGGGTGACCCCCTTTTACTATAAATCTTGTGTTAGAGTGTACACACCCAGACTGATGCATTATCTGGCAGCCTACCTCTCTTCTAGTCACTTTTACTTCATCAGTTCTGCTGTACTCTAAATCAGGATGTAGACTCACAGCTGAATCAAAGAGCAAGAAGCAGCAGTGATCAAGACAGAGGCAGGCAGCCAACCTATCTTCCCCCTTTGCAGAGGCTACAGCTGGCTCCAACATAATTAGGAAGAGCCTATTCCAAAAAGGCATGGAGTGCCTCCTACATAGGGTGGCCAGGTGTCCGGTATTCACCTGGACAGACCAGTATTTGACTCCTGTCTGGTTTAAAAAAAAAAATCAGAGAATACTGGACACTTAAAACATCCGGTATTGTCTGAATTTTTCCCTGGCCAGGAGGCAAAAATGCTAGGCACCTGGCAACCCTACAAACACTCAGGGCCAGGCCTGGCCTCCCCCCACCTCGAGACCCCTCCCCGACTCTCAACACCGCTAGCCCCAATGCTTACCTGGTTCCCCAAGGCTGCAGGCACAAAATGGCTGCTGGCCAAAAGACTTAGGGGAAGCAATGCTTTCTCCTGGGTCTTAGTGCTCAGCCACTCCCTGTTCCTATCCCTTCACTCACTCTTAAAGGGGACATGCTGTTTTATTTTAATTCTTGGATTTGGGGGCAGGGTAGAATTTTTGGAGCCCCCTTTTTTTTTTTTGCTCAACAACTTTGGTCTCCCCCGCCCCCCAAAAGAATTTGTGTGTGTGTGTGTGGGGGGGGGTAATTTGATATTTTTTAACCATCTGGCAACCCTACCTATGAGATACTAGTTTCTTCCAGTTCCCATTCACTTCACAGCAGATGTTCAATCCCTTTCAGGGCTAAGTCTCAATCTAGGAGGCAGCCATGTAGGAGGATGTTGAATAAAAGACAGCAGAGGGGCTCAGATTGCCACAGTAGAAGCCTCAAATGGAGGCTCAAAACCTGGAAAATGGAGCCATTAACATTTCTTCCCCCACCCAATGCTTCCTTCTCCTTGCCACCCCAGTATCCAGCAATCTACCCAATCCCTTCAGTGACAAGTTCCTCTAACATTGCAAAAGCCATCCCATTCATTGCCCTCCAGCAATGACGCACCCGCCCCCGACAGATCAGTTGACAGATTCACATGTTGTAACACCCACAAAACTTCATTAACCATAGCACATGGCTACAGCTGTTGTGCAAGAAGGGAAATTTAGAATTTGTCATTTACTTTACACTGAATTTATGGAAACCTGGAATTTCCTGGCAAGATAAAGAGTCCCAAAGCATTTATGGTTTCGCCTTGGACTCATCCCAGTGCTGGGAGCCTGCAAAGACACAGCTTTTTCCACAACATAACTATCGTCTCTCTGCCCCCCCACCCCCACTCCTGCATCAGTTAGGAAGTTTCTCAGTCACATGCTTTCAGTAGCATTTATTCAGAAAACCCCTGCACTTCCAGGCTACGTTGTGCCAGAAATATGGAAGACCTGACAGTGTAAGGAGCATCATCTTTCAGGTTCAGTGCTCAAGTGAGGTTCAGAATAAAACCTAGGTTCAATTCTCAGTTTGCCATGCATTTCCCATGTGATCTTGGGCAAGGAGCTCAGGCTCAGTTCCTCAGAGATATTTGGGCAACTAACTCCCATCCTTAAATTTCTCAGTGCCCCCGCCACTCATCTGTAAAATATGAGAGTGGTACTTTCCTCCCCATGGCACTGAAGATAAAATGATTACTATTTGCTCAGATGCTACAGTGATGAAAGGAGTGGGGAAAGCTGAGGTAGGTGTATGCACAGATCATTCCAATAAAATGAATGTCTTAATGATCTGGATACACCCATCGCTTGCATCTTCATAGCATATTAAATTCTGACCCGTGTTTAAAATAAAGTTTGTCCCATGGCTACTTAGAAATTTTACTTAAAAAGAGAGTTTGGACAAACCTTGAATTCTTTACCGGGTCAAGCCTCATTAGAGAGGGTGGGAATTTTCCCCATTAAGAACTGAGCAAGGACTACACGGCATATGGCTCCTTGTGCACAGTGTCCCATTATAAATAAAAGTATATAAATATAAGCTGGAACATATGGAAGTTCCTTTCAGCCTCTGGTTTCTGCAGTAAGGAAAAAAAATAGAAAAAACATTTTAAAAAATTCTTAATCCTTTCCTTCTTCTCTGTTGTCTTCCTTATTTTGTCCCTTGTGGTCTTTCTAATCCTCCTTTTAACTCCTTCCTGAATTTATTTTCCCTCTGCTGCCCTCACTTTTTTTTTTTTGGAAGATATTTGGGAGTTCACAGGAATTAACCAATGACCTGGGTCCAGTTTTGTCATTTATTTATAGTAAGGCCTCTTTATTCCATGTTGACAACATAAAGATTGTTTCATCTCATTTTAAGACCTCTTTATGCTGCCACAGTGGTGTAATATTTATTCCTGTTTTAGGGTCCCTTTACACAGCCAAAATAATAACAAGAGACCTGAGTGTAAGGAAAGGAAGGAAAATGAGGTAAGCACTGTTCATTCTTTAGGTAACTTCCACATTCAAACTAGGTTCAGTCTGCCCTACATTTATCTTTTAATTTCACCACCTCACTGCTGGGTGTTTGATGATTCACACACAAATAAGCACTTTCAAATTTATATTTTTGCTTGGAAGGCCGAAGAAGTTTTGGCTACTTCATTTGTCCCATTAGGCAACAGGTGGGTCAATTGATTCCTTTCAAAAATACTTCTTCATTATCCCATATGTTGAAGGGCAGTAGTGGGAATGTAACTGAGCCAGCAAAGCTTTTGAGGTGATCTCAAATCTTGTCCCCTGACTCTTTTTATTCCAAATATGCACCGCGTAGGTGTTCTTGAAGAGTCTGTGAAGCTCTGAAGAGCTGACCACTTCAAAGTACTTTTTCCAGTCCTGCCAACGGATGGGATAAAAGGCCTCTCTCGGAAGAGTACTGACTCCTTTACAGCTTTTACTGCTCTGGAGGCTTCTGATAGAGCACCATTTTTTGAAGACCCGGGTTAAAAGCTGCGGGCCCTGGTGCCCCCATATCCAACCATTGTAATTCTCTACGTAGTCCTGCATGCAAAGCTCTATGAACTTGTGTTTGGGTTCAAAGGAGAGGAAAGCCCCATTCAATACATATTTGGACTGGATTCCAAGCACATTGGTGAGGTTCTTTAAGTACTTAAGGACTATGAAATCTGTGTCTAGATAGATACCCCCAAATTTCCACATGATAGCAATCCTACAGGCATCAGAAAGTATGGGTAAGAAATAAGGCTCCCACCGGTGCTGGGCCACCGAATACCATGTAGCTAAGGGGGTACCAGAGAAAAGGTCATTTAAGTCCAGTGGCCGTATTTCCACATTGGGGAAGCAGCTTAGCAGGGAGAAACCCCAGTGTTTTGGCAGAGTGAAATTTCTATTTGCCAAGCCCTTCATAAGAATGACAACTTTAGTCTCAGGGTGAGCCCTGGCTGCTGATTCCACAGAGCACATAAAGAGGAAGCTTGGGTTGGTTCGCTCTGAGGTCTCCACAAAGAATATATCCCCTGGCAGCGGAGGTGGCCTGCCAGATACAGGTGAGGGAGGAGAAAGCACAGATTGAGGACATTTGACTTCCAGAGGCAGCCCATGGAGCAGAGTCTTGCTTTTGGCATCCTCAGTGATTCTCCAATAGAACATGATGGAAACAAAGGACATGAACTTAAAGGTGATGATAAACACAGCCCAGAGCTTGTGGTTCATCACCACTCTACTTAGCTGTAGCACACAGATAGGCATTTTGTACATTTTTCACCTCCCTTGCAGAACCTTGTTCTTCCAATAAAAAAAAAATAGGGTGATCTGGGGGGGAAGAAAAAGGAAATTATTCAGCACAATAAAGACAAAACATAACAGTTAACACCAATCCATATTTTGGAATCTTATGCAATTATATATTTTGACTTGCACAGTATACTGACTTACAAATAGTACGGGTGATTAATAAAGTATTGCGTCAGCAGGGAGGGGCCCCAAACAGACTGAAGCCTTATTGTGCAAGGTGCTTAACATAATACCCTGCTCCCTTTAATACCACGTAGCCAAATTCTGCCCTTTGTTTACACGCATGCAACTGAACGTATTTCAATGGTGTTGCACAGGGCAGAATTTGACCCCCTAAATTAGCTTCTTTCACTTTAGGCCATATGCCTCACCAGACTAATGTAGTAGTGATTCTAGAGAGCTGGGAATGGGGGGGGGGGTCTACTTTTTCTGCAGGACTGCCATCTCAACAGTCCCAGAGTCCTGAAAAAAGGCACTGTGGTGCAACTGTGATTGTTATGACAGACTGTTAATGTCTTAATAAAGACAAGGACAATCATTTCCTTAAACTAATTGCTTAGGTGAAACCAGCCCAGTGATCATGCCTTCCTCTCAAGAGATTCCCAACTGCTAGCCTGGCAAACAAACATGATATTTGCTGACTTTGTGTTCTCATTTTCCTGGTGACATCCCATTGTGCTGTTCTGTTGTTACAAAGTCCCACATCCATAGGGGCTAGAACTAGGAATGCTGGGGCTGCTGCTGCCCCCTGGCTTGAAGCAATTTCCATTATATACAGACAAGATGATTTACCCAGCATTGTTCTGGGGGCAGGGCGAGGGATGAGGGGTTCAGGGTACAGGCTGTCCCCTAGGGAGAGAGGACAACTCCAGGCCTCTCACTATAACAGCTTGGGGCCTGGTGAGAAGCACCTCTCCATGGACACTGCAGCGGGCACAGCTGGGGGAGGGAAAAATGTTCCCTCACGGGGGGATAGCTAGACAGACAAACTCTCTGAAATATATAGTAGATAGCTTCCCTTTCTCTAGCCCTGTCCCAATGGGTTGTAGCAATCCTGGTCCCCCAACTGGTCCCCCTTCCTGCTGCCCTGTGGTCTTTCTGGAATATTATTGTCCCTCCTACCAAACCCCTCCCTTTCCATTTTTTGAGAAAATAAAGTTCCAGACATCCCATTGTCCTGACACAACCAAACTCTGACCTTGCTTTAAGATAGGATAGGAGGAGGCTGCATACCAAATTTGGTGGCCCTAGTTCTTATCGTTTCAAACTGATGTCCAACCAGTCCAACTATAGTGGCTACTGCTATAGTGAACGAGGCACACTCAACCAGCCAAATAGCCACACGGCTAACATGTTGGACACCATGGGTTTAGGAGGAGTTCTTGGACAGATGCAGGTTTCTAAAATATATAGCAGGGTTCTGCAGTTTGGTTCACTGGCTTTCAGCTCCCCCATCAACAAATTGTTCCAGTGCCTCTGCTCAGGGCCAGACGGAGGCATGGGCGAACCGGGCAGCTGCCCAGGGTACCAACCGATGGGGGGGCGCCTAATGGCAGCTGTAAGGGGCACATGGCATCCCTTATAGCTGCCATCAGGCGCCACGTGCCCAGCTCCCGCAGCCCCAGCCCACAGACCCACGGCCACGGGGCCCTACACGGCCCAGCGTGCATACCAGCAGCGACAGCTGGGCTGGACTGTGATGCGCTAGCGCGGTGCGCCCCGGGAAGGCGGGCCCACTCCCCATGGGCAGGCACGCGCATGAACTGTGCGCCTGGGGGTGGCACCGCACACTTGTACCTGGGGCGCCAGAATGCCTCTGGGCCAGCCCTGCCCCTGCCTATCATGTGAGAGTATAGGCCAGATTGCTTTCACACTTCTGTCTCTGCTCCATTCTCCATTGACTAGTGCTCGGCTTCCTGATTTAGGTATTTTCATTGTAAAAGTTTTAATATTTAAATCTAAGTACCTCCTCCTTCGCAACACAGGCCTATGCCCCGGAACCTCGCTTTACCAAAACCAGCTTCTGGAGTAGAAGGGGAAACACCCAGTGTCCTTTTCTCTTTCCTTGCGTCCTATTAGGGTATCTCCACAAGGGAGGGGAAAAGTCTGTCTACCCTCGCAATCTGCAGTTGGAGCAGGACACATTAGTGCCATCCAGTGTGACTGGCCCTGTAATGTTCTGGCCAGGGAATGAGATTCCTCAGAGTTCACTGGACAGAATTTCCTGCCATTCAGCAAGTAAAGTTATTTGATCTGCCCAGACAGTTTATTATACCCTCTGTATGGGTCGAATCACAGAAGTCCCCTTAGGATTGTCCCCTGGTGTGATCATGCCTCTGATGACCACCTTCCTGCCCTCTGGGGCTCTCCGCCTCCCTGTCCCGCTTGGGAAAATACTCTGGTCTTCCACAGACAAGACTCGAGTGAGGTTTACTGCCCCCTTGCAGAGCAGCAGACACAACCAGTTCAGCTCTGAGAGGATGCAGGTTAAGGGCTCACCACCCAGGAAACCAACCCCCAAAAGGGGCCAAAACTCCAAATAAATCCATCCACCTTCTGCTTTTGGAATTAATGGAACAGCTGCAAACTAACACTGCTTCTCTGCATAATCACACAGCATGCCTGGCACCTGGAACTCGTCTTCAGTTAGTAACTATGTGATTGCAAATGGCAGTGTAAGTAAATGTCTTCCCTTGCAGTTATCAGAGCACAAAAAGCACAGTGCAGGATCCGTCTTCTCACAAAGATGCTGGGGTACACAGCACTCAAGGGCCATAGAAAAATGCCTTGAAAACAAGCCAGAAACCCATGGAATACCAGGACAGAAGAAAACGCATCGGACATTGAACTGCATCTTGGGACCAGGCTCAATCTCGGTCTTCCCACAGGACTTATCAGCCGAAGGTGATGAGTTAGACTACAGGAAAGAGTACCCACGGTGCACTGCTCACACTGTCAGTAAGAGCCCCCTCAATCAATGCGCTCTGCTGACAAAGGGAGGGAGAATATGAACACCCAATACCAATTTACACTAACGCTTTGAGTGTTGACATAACTATAGTATCAAAACTCTAATATTGCCAGGAGAATAAGGCCTTGTCTATTGGGGGAGGGGGAGCAAAAAAAAAAAAATCTATTTTGGAAATATAAAACATGGAGGCGTGATAAGTGTGAGAAAAAGCACCTTCCTGCCTGCCTTTGTGGTTTTCTTCTGAAAGATCAGAAAAGCAAAAGGCTATTACAGTATATTCAGCAAAGATCTATTGAAAACAGGGCAGAGAACTGCAAGCCAGATTCTCAATTGATCTGAAAGCAGCATGTGCCAACTGAGGGTTAGTTTCTAAAACAGGGCTTTTACTCAGTCACTGCTGACATAACTGCAGTGTCAACTTGAGATGAATGAAAGCTATGCTAGCAATGGGCAAACCAAAATGGTTCACTCTTCCAGATAAACAGTATGTTTGGATTCTTAGATGAACCGTTTTGCAGACTTTCACCACCTATATTATATCACTTCTGTAACTGCAAGAAAAAACCCTCCTTTTTGTCTCTAGCTTCTCATCCTGCTCCCTACCCCCACCATTTTGTATCCCAACTCTTCTCCAATCCCCTCACTTAGGATATAATCTAGACAGGACAGGATGCTGAATGTCTACTTACACCTTACAAGGCTTCACAGATGCTCTCAGTGTCTAAGGCATCTGGGATAGGTTTCTGTTTGTATGCATCTCAGTTAAAAGAGTCACATAGCATATAAAACCTTCATAGAAATAATGTCCAAGGCTTCCCATGGTCTCTTGCTGTTGCTGACTGGTTTCTGAGTTTATAGGAGCAGCAGTAGATCATTGCACACTGACTTCTGACATAGCAATCTCACAGACCATTTTTGGCCACCTTTATAAATACTTTGTTAGGTTGCTAGATTCCCCACACACCCCAGCCAAACCAACCATGTCTTAATTGCAGTTTTTAAATCTGTAGCACACAAGGAAATAATTACAGCCAATGTCTCTGCTCTGTAGCTCTCTCAAGAGTCGGATTGATAGTTCACTCTGCATGGTTGGAAGCAGGGAAAAGGAGCTCTAATTTCACACTTGGCTGAGATGAGGCTTATGTCATCATCCAGTGAAAAGACAGACAAAATCATGAGGTCTAGATAGCTGTTACTATTCAAGAGAGATCTTGGAGTCATCATGGATAGCAGTCTGAAAACATCTGCTTAATGCATAGCACTAGTCACAAAAGTTATCTATTTTAGAAACCATTAGGAAAAGGACAAGAGAAAAATATAATAATTCTACTATGTAAGTCCATGATACACCCATGCCTTGAATAGTGTGTGCAGTACTAGTGGCCTGAACTTAAAAAAAAAAAAAAAAAAAAAGGCTATATTTGACTCTGTACTTTTTCCAAATCTATGACTGCTATTAGGAGTATGGAATTTCCATGTGAGGCGAGATTAAAAAAAGTCTAGGACTGTTCATCTTTTAAAAAAGACGACGAAAGGGAGATATATATATTACCATGAATGGAGTGGAGAAAGCATCTAAGGAAGTGTTATTTATCTGTTCACATAATACAAGACCCGACCCACAGGGCACCCAATGAAATTAATAGCCAGTAGTTTAAAAATAAACATAAGGAATTACTTCTTCACACAATGCAGTCAACCTATGGAACTCGTTGAAAGGGGATGTTGTGATAGCGAAAAGTATAACTGGGTTCAAACAAGAATTAGGTAAGTTCATGAAGAACACGACCATCAATGGCTTTTACCCAATATGGCCAAGGATACATGTTCTAAGCGTCCCTGGGACTGTCAGAATTTAAAAATGGAGGACACAGGACAGACTCCTCACTAATCACCAGTTCTAGTCAATCTCTCTGAAGCCAGCCAGGTTTGGAAGAGAATAGTGAGCTAGCTGGACCATTGGCCTGAACAACTGTGGTCATTTTTATATGTTCTCATAAATACCTTGCTCTAGCCTGATTTCTGTTCTCAGCATGAAAGGCCACAT